GAGGAAATTAACTGTCTGTGTTTCACTTCTACAGGTTTGTTTCTTTTCAGCCTTCAGGCAACACTGAAACGAACTCACATGACCCACAGATAGTATTGCAGTAATCACAGGTCTGGGTCACGCACTCAGCAAACATTTCCTGTAAACGGACAGGAAACCCTCTTTACAGGACCCCTCTCTCTGTGCGCCACAGTCCAGAACTGTGAATCTACACTGAATTCATGCAGGCCTAACCTTTCACACCACTGGAGGGCCCTCCCTTCTCAAAAGGTCATTTCTGACCTAGAGCACCCTGACTCTGTCTGGCCTGTCATTGGCTCCACAGATCTGGCTGGCTTTCATACTGGTGGTGGGGTGAGCTCCAAGCAAGGTCTCAGAGTTCTTTTGGCATTACAGTACCTGTTTGGGCTGTAACAAAGGCTGCTCCTGGCTCCTGTATTCCAGTGAATGGGATTTTATTTTTGCTTGCTGCAGTAAATAAACAGAACAAAAGATAAGCAGGGAGATTAACAACTACATTGAAAATGGCTGACTCCTGGCTTTTGGAGAAGCCATGAAGAACATGCACAGCCCCCTCCCCTTCTATTAGGCTGTCCTTGGTGCTTTAGAATCCAAAAAGCGGGGCTGGTGCTTGTGCTTAACAAACAGAGAACCCCCAAATTGCCTGTCCTCTTAATACATGGACATTCTGCTCAGTTATTTAACGATCTATTGCAATTATGTTTGCATTTAACAGAATTACCCCTTCATTAACATTAAGAACGTCTTAAGAATAAAAGACCAAGTACAGATTCCTTTCCATTGCTATAAATAGTCCATAGTCTCTGCCATTCTCCAATAGGAACCACATTGCATTTTTATTTACTTTTGGGATTATTTATTTTGACAACATAATTTAAATGATTATTTTGCTACTTCTCCAGCCAAGGTCTGAACTAGGGATGTAAGAGTGTAGCCATTTAAATAGGTAACTGATAAGCTTATCCAAATGGTTACAAACAGTTCCCGGTCCTGCTCCTGGGGAGACGGCTGCTGCCCCGTGCTCCTGCCTCTGGTACACAGTGTCGGCCAGCTCCCCGGAAGTGGGTGGCAGGTGGGAGCAGGCTTAAAAGCTAGGTCCTAGTGGGCACCTGGCTCCCAGGGAGCCAACTGCTGGCCTGCACTGTTGCCTCTTATACAGAGGCAGCAGCTTGGGGCAGGAGGCAGGAGCTGGTACATGTGGGGAGCTGGCTTAAAAGCCAGCTCCCAGCATGCATTGGCTCCCAGGGAGCTGACTGCCATCCGGCACTACTGACTCTATATTAGAGGCAGAAGCATGGGACAGCAACTGGCTCCCTGGGAGTGGGGTGGCAGGCGGGAGGAAGTGTGTGCCAGGACCTGGCTTTTAAAGACAACTCCTGAGGAGCTGGCAGCCGCTTTGCACGTAATGACTGAAATTTTCAGCAGTTACATGGTTAACCAATTACATGCATTTTAACATCCCCTCGTCTGAACCAGGGTTAGTTTCAGAAGGAGATGGAAAAGGAGTGACATCAATTTCCCCATCTGCAAAATGGGTTAATCATACTGAGTTCCTCTGTGAAATGCTTTGAGATCTACTGATGAAAAGACCTAAGGATTAGTATTACAATTACAAAGGGGTGTAAAAAAGATGGAGTAGAGATCAGCCAGGCTCCATTTTTGTTTAAAAAAACCCAAAACAAAACAAAACAATAAAGGCACAGGAAACAGAATTAAAAAGCAAAAACAAAAAACAGACACAAGGATCATTTTTAACTTATTGAACTCAAAGCCATAATAGATGACACTGAGCTAAGAGTTTAGTGGGATTCTAAAACAGAGTGACAAGTTTCAGAGGTAGCTGTGTTATTCTGATTCAGCAAAAATAATAAGGAAAACTGTCACCTTAAAGACTAACAAATTTATTGGGCATAAGTTTTTGTGTGCTGTAGTCCACTATCTGATGAAATGGACTCCAGTCCACAAAATTTTATGCCAAAATAAATTTGTTAGTCTTTAAGGTGACACAGGACTCTTCCTTGTTTTTGCTAAAACATTTTATCTGTATGGAAAAAATATATCCAACCATATTGGATACAAAAATTACAAGTTATTTCAACCCTTTTGCTTCAGGACATTAGCCAACCACCAACCATAATAATGCTGTACCTGTGATAGCAGACAAAGAAGGGCTCAATTATACACCCTGAGATTGTGAAAAGGTGCCAAGGGTTGTCTCTGCTTGTTTCTTTTACAGAGCAGGATCTTTGTGATTCAGAGAAAGACATTCCAGAGATAAGAAGGGCTGCTCAACATTTTGTCTTCACGCTATGCACCGAAGAGCGATGTTTTGGCATTCAATTTAGCAGGTCTAGTATAGACACATAAATCAAACGCTGAGGACAGCTCTGGCTGGCGACTGTACTCCTTGCAGTTGAGAGAAGTAAGGGAAGCTGACGGGAGCATTTGCTCCTGTCAGCCTCCTGCTGTAGGGACACCACCAAGCTCGGCTTAAGGTTGCGTTATGAAAGCTGTTATTAAAACGATGAATTATTGTCGGCTGAGGATAGACACCGTAACCACAATGAATAAAGAGGAAAAAGAGCACAGAATTTCTCTCTTGTTTTACTTAACTGATTTATTTTCTCTCTTCAATCTGATGCCCAGAGGAGGCCAAGGTCTGGCAAACAGGCAGGTGAGATATGGACACAAAAATCTTTCTTTACTGCTTTCCCTAAATAGTGCACAGTGTGGACGCAGCAGTCACAACTGAACTGACCTTAGGCTTGTATTTCTTTGTGTGTTATAGATGCTGTGTTATATTAGTACATCTGCATGTGTTTGATAACATGCCTGCTAGATTACCCAATGCACCTCTTCCTTGCCGACACTCATCTGAACGCAAAATGTGACATAAGCAGGATTCAGAGTTAGAGTGGAGAGAGAAAAACACATGTACACATACAAACAGAATCAGTGCCCATTGTTTTTCCCAATCCTGCTGAGAGGATTCTTGCCAACATACCTGGCAGCTAAGCCTCGCTGAAGGTTTTTAATACATTTCAAGGCCAGCCCAATGTCTGCAACCCTGAACTGGTGCAACACCCGTTAAAAACTCCACATTTTTCCATATTTTTCTCTTTTATATATTTCTGACTAACATTAGAGAGTGCAAAACAAACCAAAAAATGCAAAGTAAAAGTGGAAATTGAAATTCTATCTATAACTTGCTCCATTGTGTCATGGGGGAGGAAAGAGAGATGTAAATTATGGATGAAACAGAACATTCCATATCCAGCACAGAACAAATCCACTGTGCAGCACATTTGCAGTTTTCCAGCGCCTTTTATCCAAAATGGTTAAAGGCCTTTATGAACACTAACAAAATAAGCTGCACAACCTCCTACACTGGCCCCGATCCTCCGGAAAAAGTGCCCTTTTCCGGAGGGTCTTATTCCTACTTTGATGGGGGAAAGCCGATTGGTGCGGAGATGCACGTATATCGGAGGGAGACTTCTCTTAGAGGAGAATCCATTGATAGAGATTCTCTAAGCTGTAGTCAGAAAGAGGAGAGGGCAAACCATGGGCCAGAGCAGACAAACAACCGCATACAAAGGAATCCAATGCATCAGGGAAGGGCAGACAAATAAGCAGTGGCAAATTTTTAAAGTGCTTGTACACAAATGCTAGGAGTCTGACTAATAAGATGGGTGAACTAGTTACCTCGTATTAAATGAGGAGATTGACATAATAGGCATCACTGAAACCTGGTGGAATGAGGAAAATCTGTGGGACACAATCATATCGGAATATAAAATATATAGAAAGGATAGAGCAGGCCAGGTGGATGGTAGAGTGGAACTGTATGTGAAAGATAATCAAATGAAATAAAAATATTAAGTGAATCAACATGTTCCATAGAATCGCTATGGATAGTAATTCCATGCTCCAATAATAAGAAATTAGCAGTAGGGATATATTACTGACCACCTGACCAGGACAGCGATACTGACATTGAAATGCTGAGGGAGATTAGGGAGGCTACCAAAATAAAGAATTCTATAATAATGGGGGATTTTAATTATCCCCATATTGACTGGATACATGTCACCTCAGGAAGAGAAGCAGAGATAAAATTTCTCAATGGCTTAAATGACTGCTTCTTGGAGCAGCTGGTGCAGGAACCCAAAAGGGGAGAGGCAATTCTCGATTTAGTCCTGAGTGGAGTGCAGGATCAGGTCCAGGAAATAACCGTTACAGGACTGCTTGGGAATAGTGACCATAATATAATAACATTCAACATTCCTGTGGTGGGAAGAATACCTCAGCAGTCCAGCACCCTGACATTTAATTTCAAAAAGGGGAATTATACAAAAATGAGGAGGTTAGTTAAACAGAAATTAAAAGGCACAGTGACTAGAGCCAAATCCCTGAAAGCTGCATGGAAACTTTTTAAAGACACCATAATAGAGGCCCAACTTAAATGTATACCCCAAATTAAAAAACATAGCAAGAGACCTGAAAAAGTGTCACCGTGGCTTAACAATCATGTAAAAGAAGCAGTGAGGGACAAAAAGGTATCTTTTAAGAAGTGGAAGTCCAATCCTAGTGAGATAAATAGAAAGGAACATAAACACTGTCAAATCAAGTGTAAAAATGTAATAAGAAAAGCAAAAAAAGATTTTGAGGAACATCTAGCCAAAAACTCAAAAAGAAATAACAAAATGTTTTTTAAGTACATTAGAAGCAGGAAGCCTGCTAAAAAACCTGTGGGTCCCCTAGATGATCGAGCTATAAAAGGAGCAATCAAGGATGATAAAGCCATTGCGGAGAAACTAAATGATTTCTTTGCTTCAGTCTTCACGGCTGAGGACGTTGGGGAGATTCCCGAATCTGCACCGTCCTTTGTGGGTGATGAATCTGAGGAATTGTCCCGGATTGAAGTGTCATTAGAGGAGGTTTTGGAACAAATAGAAAAACTTAATGGTAACAAATCTCCAGGACTGGATGGCATTCATCCAAGGGTTCTAAAAGAACTCAAATGGGAAATTGCTTAGCTATTATCTGTGGTTTGTAACCTATTCTTTAAATCGGTTCCGTACCTAATGACGGGAAGGTAGTCAACGTGACACCAATTTTTAAAAAGGGCTCTAGAGTCGATCCTGGCAATTACAGACCGGTAAGTCTAACTTCAGTACCGGGCAAATTAGTCGAAACAATAGTAAAGAATTGTGAAGCATGTAGAAGAACATAATTTGTTGGACTAAAGTCAACATGATTTCTGTAAAGGGAAATCCTGTCTTACTAATCTATTTGAGTTCTTTGAAGGGGTTAACAAACATGCGGATAAGGGGGATCCAGTAGATATAGTATACTTGGATTTTCAGAAAGCCTTTGACAAGGTCCCTCACCAAAGGCTCTTGTGTAAATTACATGGCCATGGGATAAGAGGGAAGGTCCTTTCTTGG